TGAATTTGATTTCTGTGCCTTCCGGTAGAGTGCTCAAGTCCATGATCTGCAAATTTCAGGATTTGGTTTCTTTCCCTCTCTCAGTCAGTGACTGCTTAATCACATGTTTGCTTTAGAGTAGACTCAATGGGACACACTTGCTCTGAACCGTCCTGCAACCAAGTATCAAGAACAGGGCTTGTGCAAAGCACAACTCTGGATCAGGTCAGAGATGGTAGACAGCTCAATGGCAGGTCTTTTTTGTCCAGGCTAGCTCAGTGTGGCACCTGGGAAGTGTGGAGGGACCTCTTCTAAGAGAGGCTTAAGTCTCTGGTTTCGGTGGAGGGTTTAGACAGTTAAATGGAATTAGGAGTCTTTGAATCTCAGTAGCAGGACTCAAACCTCATCCATGTCCTTGCCCAGCTGAAGTGGCCTCTGTCCCTGCCATGTGGTTTCTGTGGGTCCCATTCTTTGTCTTAGGAAAAGCAAGTAGCTAATTCAGAGCTATGAATGCCACTGGGCTACCATGTAGCTGGAAATTAAACACTGAAATGGCTGGTCTGTTTTGAGGATATAATCCTCAGTCCACATTTAGGTAGCTGAATAAATTCCTGGTTTTCAGAAAATCAAGTACCTGCCAACTCCTACTCCCTTTCTTAAATTGAAGGGATGTGAAAAAGGGGCATTTCTCATAGCTTCAAATATATATAGGTAACAACTTAATTTTACAGACTGAAATGTTGCTGTCAAGTCCTTGATGTAGGCCTGGACAATTTACTCTCTTCTAAGTATTCAGTGTAAATTATTAAACTTTAGAAAACATACAACTTCATCAAAAGTAACAGCTTATCTCATGCATTTTTCAACAGGATGAGGGAAGACATTTTTATCATATAGTTATAATTTAACTGTTTTTATATTTCGATTGAAGCATGTGCTGACCCAAGGGGCTTTTAACTAAACAATGCCTCTCATTCTCGTGAACATCACAATCCCAATGTTTGTAATGTCAATGGAAGAATGGAAACAGTTCTGTCTGCTCAGGCTGTCTGCTCCTTTGGGGAAACCATCTCTTGGCTTGGATATAAGCTGCACTTACCCTAATGAACCTCTGCCTTCAATTCAAGGCTCTCTCGTAACACAAATGTTAAAACATAGTGAATGCTTTTCATAGGGAGTTTAAATGCACAAGTTGGAGGTTTTCTGGGAGATCATCTGAATACATTTATGAATGATTTATTTAGCACATGGAGTAAGCTAAGCTAAGTAAGCTAAGTTACCTCTAGATAAACCAACGGCTATATATAGTCAGGACTGTAATTTATAGCAGAGTACACAATGTGTAGTTTGCACTATACTATATATCAAAACATATATATATGTATAGAACATACTATGCTATACTATGTATAGTATGGTCTCTTTTGGTATACATATACACATATATATTATATTTGTGTTATACACAGGTGGGATAGAATACAGTACCTTCTACACAAAAATTAACATGCCAGTGCACAACAGTCTTACAGAAAGTTTCATGTACTCATTAAGCCACATTCATTTCTTCTTTTGTTTTTCCACTGTCAGTTTCTTTTGTTATTTCTGAGGAACTTTCCATCCCAGTCATGCCCATACACAGAGCACTCAGAGGTGCAAAAGCATCTAAGTGACTTAGGAATCTATTTTTGATAGTAGTTTAGGTACAGATAGTCATATCTTCTGTGGTGGGTTGACTCTGGCTGAATGTCAGATGCCCACTAAAGCTGCTTTATTGCTACCCTCCTCAGCTGGACAGGGGAGAGAAATTAAAATGAAGGGCTTGTGGGTCGAGATAATGATGAGGACAGATCACAGAACCATAGAATCATAAAATAGTTTGGGTTGGAAGGGACCTTAAAGATAATCTAGTTCCAACCCCCCTGCCACAGACAGGAACACCTTCCACTACATCAGGTTGCTCAAAGCCTCATCCAACCTGGCCTTGAACACTTCCAGGAATGGGACATTCACAACTTCTCTGGGAAACCTGTTCCAGTGCCTCACCACCCTCAGAGTGAAGACTTTTTTCCTCACAGCTAGTTGAAATCTACCCTTTTTCAGTTTAAAGCCATTGCCCCTTGTCTTATCACTACATACTCTTGTAAAAAGTCCCTCTCCAGCTTTCTTACAGTACCCCTTTAGGTACTGGAAGACTGATACAAGATCAGGTCTCCCTGGAGGCTTCTCTTCTGCAGGCTGAAAAACCCCAACTCTCTCAGCCTGTCTTCATAGAAGAGGTGCTCCAGCCCTCTGATCATCTTCATGGCCCTCCTCTGAACCCGCTCCAACAGGACCTAGAGCTTATTCACTAATGACCATTATGGGCAAACCAGACTTGATCTGGAGAAATTAGTTTAATTTATTACCGATCAAATCAGAGTAGCATAATGAGAAATAAAACCAAATCTTAAAAACACCTTCCCCCACCCCTCCCTTCTTCCTGGGCTTAATGTTACTCCCAAAATCTCTATCTCCTCTCCCTGAGCAGCACAGGGGGACAAGGAACGGGGGTTGTGGTCAGTTCATCATATGTGGTTTCTGCTGCTCCTTCCTCCTCAGGGGGAGGATCCCTCACACTCTTCCCTTGCTCCAGCATGAGGTCCCTTCCCATGGGAGACAGGCCTCCATGAGCTTCTCCAACACGAGTCCTTCCCGCAGGCTGCAGTTCTTCATGAACTGCTCCAGCATGGGTCCCTTCCACAGGTTGCAGTCCTTCAGGAACAGACTGCTCTAGCGTGGGTCCCCTAAGCTCCAGTGCAGGTTCTCCACAGCTTCACAGCCTCCTTTGGGCACATCCACCTGGTTTGGCGTGGAGTCCTCCATGGGCTGCAGGTGGATCTTTGCTCCACTGTTAACCTCCATGGGCTATAGCGGGACAGCCTGCATCACCATGGTCTTCACCATGGACTGCAGGGGAATCTCTGCTCTGGCGCCTGGAGCACCTCCTCACCTTCCCTCTGCACTGACCTTGATGTCTGTAGAGTTGTTTCACATATTCTTACTCCTCTATCCATCTGCAATTGCTGTTATGCAGGTTTTTTTCTTCTCCTTCTTAAATATATTATCCCAGAGGTGCTACCACCATCACTGATGGGCACGTCTTTGGCCAGTGGTGGGTCCATCTTGGAGCTGCCTGGAGCACCTCCTCACCTTCCCTCTGCACTGACCTTGATGTCTGTAGAGTTGTTTCACATATTCTTACTCCTCTATCCATCTGCAATTGCTGTTATGCAGGTTTTTTTCTTCTCCTTCTTAAATATATTATCCCAGAGGTGCTACCACCATCACTGATGGGCACGTCTTTGGCCAGTGGTGGGTCCATCTTGGAGCTGGCTGGTACAAAAACTTTGCCTGCAAACCCAATACGTGCTCAAAAGTGCTTGGAAACATAGAAACAGTTTGCAGTATGTTCTCATTGGGATATTTAAGAGTGCTTTGGTAACCTGCCTGGCAGGGAAATCAGTGGAAGTTATGTGCTGGGACATTCTGGAATGCCATGAGATACTTATCTGCTTCCTTTTGTGTTAAATGTCTTCAGCAGTCTGGCTATGAGTGAAGTTTTAAGACCCATGGTGCTTGAATAACACAGATAAAACATCTTTTCATGCCTTCTTTCAAAATGAGATGTGTGCTGTTTCTTACGGCTGCAGTAAAGAAGTTGCCAGAAGTGTGGACTGGGATAAAAAAACTCTGCTGTTCTCTTCTTGGGCTCACAGATCAAGACAGCTTTGCTGTTGGCCATCACTGCTTGTTCTGGGTTGGTTTGGCAGTGAGAAAGTTAGTCAAAATCACTGTGAAAAAGCGAGGGAAAAAGTGCTGAAATGTCAGCTTTCAGTAGACAGTTTTGTTGTTTGCTTGTTTATTTTTAAGAGGGAGAGGGAAATAGAAAACACATGAATAACTGGGATTTCTGCAAGGCAGGAGTAGAGATTATAGAAAGAAGAGTATTTAAAGAGCAAGCCTGTAGTTTTAAAATATGCAGCTGCATTGAAGTGTGTGCCAGAATATTTTAAAGTAACATCAAATATCTTTATTAATAAATCCGTGGTAGGTTTATGAACTGAGAAACGCCTTGTGTATAAACAAAAAAGAACTGCTTCAAATGCACTCAATATTCAGCCCAGTGTTTGTAGAAATTATGTGCTTTGGCTCTAAATTATGGCGAGATCGTAATTTGCCAGCCCTGACCTTTCCATACACCATACACATTGCTCCACTGGTGATGCTTTGAACTGGTGATGCTTTGAACATGCAGACATCCAGGACAAGGCGATTTGTGCTTATGGCATGGGAAATAGCTTTGCAAGCCATCCACAGAGGTGGGTAAGCGGGCTGTGATATGTGGGTGTTCCGTGCAATATTTTGTAGCAAAAGAAGTATCTCTACCTTAGACTGAGCCTGTGTATTTAATTTGTTGCCTTTCAGCGGTGTACAATTAAATGCATGTGTCTGTATGCTGGGGCTAGCTGAGAAACTCCAAAGGAAGTATTTTTCTTTACAAAACTTTCCCTGTTACTAGTTCTATTTTGGTGCTTTCTTCTCTATGGATGGAAGTGACTACATGATCTGATCAATTCACTTCAGATTAACAGAAAAGTAACTATAAGACCTAACTTACTAAGTTATTATTTTCCTGCTGTTGTGTGTTTTTCCATCTGCTGGAATTCATTATCTCAGGAACATTGTCCACACGATTGGGAAAGTAAGAAAGAAAGTAAGAAAAATATACTTCTTTTTTTTTTTTTTTTCCCAATGATAAAATCTTTTCAGCAATGTTTAGCTGTTTTCAGAAAGATTTGTAAGGCTGAGTCATAAAAATTGCTAGATATTTTGAGTTCTTTGGAAGAAAAAAGTGAAAGGTGTCTAATAACCAAGTTGTTGGTCTCGTGATTGTCACAGCTCATATCATTGTCGGGCATTAGCTACTGATTCCAAAGAAGAATATTAACACTTTTTTCCTTATTGATTTGTTATTGCAGCTCTTCACCAATGTGTCCGGCTCTGTGAATGATAAGGGAACTTGTCAGTGCTCTGTGTACTTGCCGGATACCACCTTTCCTGTGCAGAAGGCTGAGCAATTGGAAATTATAGCCACGACACTCTCCAAGAAATTTGAGACAGAGCTTTCTCAAGTAAGGTGTTCTTTTCTTATAAATATAACAATTGTATCTTTGCTGAAAAATGGTTGCTTGTGAAAAAGTACAGCAGTCAGCGCTTTTCTGTGACCTGTCTTTCAAACAGCAGGAAAGAGGGCTCTGTAAGAACAACGAGAATGGTGATTAAATCACAAATCTTTGACATTGTAGCATGTCATACATTTGAATGTCCTTAGGTCTCTTTTCTAGGCCTTTGCAGCTACAGGCATATGGTATTTTTGGAAGAATGGTTATGTTTTCCCTCTTTTGGCTCAGTTTTATTGGCTTGTGATTGCTACACAGAGCTATAGGAAGCGAAGCCTCCTGCTCTTTCATGTGTTATTATTTGTATCAAGCCAGCCAGATTGTAAGAGGGAAAAGAAGGGAAAGAAGAAAGGTCACCATGGCCCAGAATGAAGAAGTAGGTGAATATTTGTCCCTTCACTTCCTCTGCTCTCACTGGTTCAAAAAAAATATAAAAAACCTGAGTATCTTCCTTGTCGACATCTGAAGCTGTGGCAGTGAGACTGCTGAATTATGCATTGTTGTTGAAGACAAACACACCTTACACTACTTTGGCTGCTTGTTGAATGAATTCATATCCGTTTTTTGAGGAACTCAGGGCAAACCTACACATGCTGCAGTGCACTGAGTGAAGTTGCCTGTGAAGAAAGAAATTCGTCTTTGACTTTTGGTTGTGGATAAATATTCAGGATTCAGATTAGGTGTCCAGCAGAAAGTGTTTTCTTCAGGAACCAAACATCTTAAGAAATGAAGTGTCCTTGAATTAATCAGCAGAAAAGGCGCAGCATTAAATTATAAATTCTAACCATAAATATTCATAACCCTCCTCTGGTATAATCAAGAATAGATAAGAAGTTGTGCATAAAAAACACAACAACAGGCTGAGGATCCTATGGTAAGATCTTTCAGTTCAAATAATTTGTTTTGAAAGAACCAGAGCTAACAATGAAACGCATTCAGCTGTCAGCAGGGATATGAAGGGCAAGCTGACAGAAGTCCCCACTGCCTCCAAGTACAGGAGTTACCTGATCCCTTGCAGGATGGAGGTGTAGCTCAGAGTTAATGATCCATGAAAATCACTGAGATTTCAGGTCCCCATACTGTTCCCACTGTGATCAGTGCCAGCATTTTAAGCTAATTGTGCTGGGACAGGATCAGGGGCATGATTCCCAGCCAGAAAGTTGGCGTGGTTCTTCAAGGTATTTGTGTACCACCTTTCCCAGTTACATGCCCTAGTGTAACTAGCCTCTTACCAGTATGTTCCTCAGCATGGTGCATGTTTTCTTTAGGATGTGTGATCTATCTGCTAATCCCAAGCAGATCTGCAGAGTGTCTCAAGTGCTGCTTGACCTCTCTATGTGGACAACCTCAGATCTCCATTGAATTCAGGTGTCTTGCTCGTATAAAGACACAGGTTACTCTAGATACCTAAAATTAGGTGTCCAGATTTGTATCTGAAACTCATATCTAAAGTCAGGGCAAGCTGAATCCGCACCGTGGACTAATATCTGAGGTTGCCAGCTGGTGTCAGCTGGTGTAACTGCACTGTCATCCTTAGATGCCCAGCAGAGTGCTGTGGTGTAGGCACTGACCTTGGCTTTCAAATCTTGCTGAAGACAGTGAAAATTCTTGACCTAACTAAGGCTTCACTGAATTTCATCCTGTTGAGACCAATCAGCCAAGCGGTGTTGCAATGCATCTAGTTAGATAAAATGTGACATATGTTTTGGTGTGATATAGGCAGAGACACTTTGGGTCAGAAATGAGAATGAATAGGTTGCATTTTGGTGTAACTCAATGTGTGTAAGCTTTCTCAGATATGATATTAATTTTCTGTAGAAAGAAGAAAGCTGTCAAGCATTGCCCTATTGATATCTGAACTTAAGTAATCTCAGATCTTGTGATGCATGAGTCTCCGTGCATAAAAATTCTTCACCTTTCCAGTTGTGGAAAAAACTCTCCTTATACAATCCTGTACATTGCCTTAGTGGTGATAATACTCAGAGAAAGAAAGAAATAATGAAATGGAGGAAAGCCCAGTTTTCATTATTGATCATTATTAGAAATGATCCTGAGCAAAATCCTGGGGAATTACGCTCAAACATAATGTAGTCTCACTGCAGGGGTGGGAATTTCTATGGAGCGCTTTTGTTTTTGACTCTCAGAATCTGTGCTTTATTCGTTCTTCTAAACACCCTTTGAAACTCATGGGAGCTTTTCCTGGGTAAGAGCTGCAAGATTGGACCCTCTTAAGGATGCTTTCCATGTACTAGAAGTTCCAGATAAACAACCTGATTGAATCGTTAACCTTTTGCCTGATTGTAGGCTAATTCAAAAAGCAAGGGGGTCCTTTTATAGAATCAGCAGGCAAGGAAGCTCGCAGATAAAGAGTCGCTCTCTTGTGCCAAATGAGTACAAACTGTGGGCTGAAAATACCAGACTAATTTTTCCTCTGTCACATCAACCTTTCCCAGCATAATTATGATTGCAGAAGAAAATTAACCTTTCAAAGCAAAGCAGGAATTGGCTGCTTCTCTCAATAGGAACGGGGAGAGGACATCTCCATAGCAGGGATGGATCAACACTTCATTCCAAGGAGAGCAAGTGCCTTTCAGAACTTGGCTCACAACAGGCACAACATCCTCATGTAACAAAAACAGGAGAAAAAAAGCATGCCTGTCCTCTGCCAGGAACAGCTGTTTTCAGAATAGGTTAACCTGCAGTGGAATTCTTCTCAGTGTCAGCTTGCAGACTGCTTGCCAACCTTGCTTCTTATGGGTCTGTAGAGGACAGGCCTGCCCAAAGCCAGTGTCCTGGGCCGAGTGACTTTACAGAGTTGCTGATTTTGTCACTTCTTTCTTATCTTCCCTCAGTTCTCCCACTTTTTTTCTTTTACATCTTCATCTTGCGCCTTTGTTCCTCCTTCTGTACTCTCCAAATGCATGCTGGAGAAGTGTCTGTTTGCATGCTGCAGACCCTGTGTTGATAAATACCAATTGCAGGTAAATGACACAGTAAATGAGCATTGCAGGTTTTTCCTGCCCTTTTCATTCCACAAGAGTGACAATGTTTGGAAAGGAGGAAAAACTGAAACCAAGGTATGTTTTTCCTCCGTATGCCTCACACGGCTCCACTCTCTTCCTAGATGGGGCTAATGCCCTAGGCACTCATCATCCCTACTTTAGGCTTTTACAACAAATGTGGCAGCAATCAGTACCAGTTATTGGTCTAAATATGTGATATGCACAGAATTTCTGTGCCAGCCTGTCAAGAGACAACAGCCAGTCCCTAGCAGGTAGATGCAGTAGAAGAGTAAGGATTACAAGCTGCTTAAATCTGTATCCGCCAAGCAACAGAGCAGCATCATGTTCCTTTTTCAACTGATATTTCTAAACTACAGGAGCTCCTAAGACAGATCTGAGCGGGCAGGAATGTCCACAGAGGTCATTGCAATGCTTGACATATGTGCTGGATTTGTCTGCAAAAGCAGTATAGACCTGTTAAAGGAGCACTGCTGAGAAAATTATATTTGTCCGATAACTCGCCAGGGGAGCTATTAGCTTAAGTTCATTGTGATGCTGGTGTGGCTGTATGGAGCGCTGCAGAGTGCTGGGGCTACTTCAGGCTGTATGGATATCTTCAGCTATACGCCACTGGATGGTGTTGGCATGTCCTTAAATGACCTAAATTGTTGACTGAGTGAAAACCCTCTGATGTGGGAGGAGAACTTCAGGTCTGTGTCCTGCAGCACAACGCAATCAGGGCTGAAATAACTATGTATGTCTTATTCCAGCCCTCAGCATTTTGTCCAGGCTCTCAGAACCCTGGAGAAAACTCCAGATTCACAGGTTTCTAACTAATGAGTAACCATCACTAATTCCAGCAGTCTGTTTATTGCAGTGGTTTGTACATTTGGTCTGTATTACATCATTGTTATTATTATTATTATTATTATTGCTATTGTGAGAAAGGTTAATAATACCTCGATAGATTTCCAAATACCTCTATGACATACATAGCTTCCGACAGCCGTGCAATTTTGTTTAAACGTGGACTTTATATTTCTCAGGCTGTAATCGTGTTCTTTTTCTGTTGTGCAAACTCTAGACACACAGCTTAAACAATGACCTTTGAAGATTTTTTCAGAAGACTCTTTTGAGGATATCTTCCAACTCCAAACAGATTTTGGTGATCAGTGAAAGTGTGAGGTTCTTTTCCAAGAACATTGTCCAGTTCTTCACACTATTCCCTTCTGAACAGATGATGGTAACAGCTAGGACAAGGGATCTTCTCTGTCTCTGTTGCCAGTTAGTTACAAGGACCTAGTTCGTATCTTTATATGCTATTATTTTCTGACTCTTAAATGTAATAAATAGCTTAGCTTGGAGTTACCCTGGCTTGTCCTGGGAGATCTAGAGCATCCAGTGATATGAGTCAGTGCGCTTCTGCTGCAGCTTATGGAGACATGCCAGTTCCTATCAGAGCAGCAAAAAGTCTGGCTGCACTCATTTAGAACAGAAGATCTGTTTCAAATTCTGATTTAAATGCATGGGATTGAGCAGCCTGCTGTTGGTGCATGTTATGTATGTGCATGCAGAGGTTTGCTGGTGGATTCTTCCAGATTTAAGGTGTGGTTGTGCCACTGTTGAAAATTATACTTTTGAAAAGAGTCTTGTCACTTATGGTTCTCCTTCTTAAACCACATCACTAAATATCTTAAGATCTTAAAGGATCATTTCTGCACTTCATGAATTTCCATGCCATGAGCTTCAATACCTCCCCTTTGGTAACACAAAAGATTCAATCAAAATTGAAAGGAGAGTATAAATACGGAGTTACTGGTGCAGCAAACTAATTCTATTTATTCTTACTTCTTACCTTTTGTGATATAATTATACTAGTGTAAGGGAAAAGAGATATGACTTTCATGAAGCATACAGGAGAGAAATATATCTTTCTCAAAGTGTTGATTTTCAAGGAACTAATATTTTCCAAGGAATGTCCCAAATTCACACAGTATTCTTAACATTCTGCATCACAATGCTGCTGTGACCTTTACCTCAGCAGATACATGCTTGAGAACATATTTATCTGGACACCTGTTTAATGGTTCAAAGACTGAAAGGTTGCTATGTAAATTGCTGTAGCTAAAGCCTGCAATAAATTTTACACTTTCATTTAAACCAGATTTGATTTTTAACACTGTGTTTAGACATTGCCACCCTGCCCAAAGACAAATCCCAAACCAGTTCCACCAACTTTTGACACGATTCAAAGGTACACAAGGTAAAATCCTCTTAGGATTCAGAGTTAGTAAGAAATGAAGTTGAAAAACTTAGGAAGCCTTTATTGCATTTTTCAGCCTCCTTGGGTTGCTTTTGTGAGATAATACACTTTAGATTTCCTACTAAATTTTTCTCCAATGTAAGTTCTTAGCATACTGAGGATAAAATTAGCTCACAGAGACAATATTGGCAAAGAATTTAAAAAATGGAAGACTGCGAGTAAAATTCTGCCTTCGGTTATCCCGAGGCATTC